AGTACAAGGATAATTACAAGATTTTAAATCTAAATTCCACATTCATCTTTGATTCCACTATTGATTTCTCAAATCCTCCAACTCCTGACAGCAATGGAATTCTCACACTCAATTCCAATCAACAATATTCCATTTTCTATCAGAAATCAAATCTCATTTCTCAATACACCCCATCCGTAACCTTTCGTACCAATTCCAACCAATACGATAAATGCCTAATTGACCAAAGTGCCATCAATGCAGCCATTATCCTTAGTGTAATTGGTGGAACTTTCCTCCTTACAGGTCTGATATTATTTTGTGTTTTGAGGAATAGAAAAGGTGGAGGTGGTGGAGGAAATGGTGGTGATGGGAGTGGTGGTAATTATTCCTCTTTCAATGATACCAATTATACCACTTCGAATGATTTTGGAGGAGGAGGTGGTGGTGGTGGAGGTGGCTCCTCAAGCCATGGAGGTTCTGGATTTGCAGATTAATAAAGTCCTTAATTGAATAACTTGCCATTCATCCAATGAATTGCTTCTTCTCTGCTCTCTGTGAATTTAATTTCATAATCGTAAGATTGGTGTGATTCTATAATGGTTGGAAAACCATCTCCAGTTGTGCAAATCAATTCAGGATTCATTTCTTTGTAATCGGCAAGGGTCTTGCAAGAGATGCAGGTATTATCGGCGAAAATTGTTTCCTCATTTGATTTCAGAATCATTTTAAGTTGGCAAGCATTCGAAACCATACTGTCAGATGAGCATGAAGAAATGTTATCAATAAATTCATCATCCTCATCTTCATTTGTTTCAATATACTCAAATCTATTAATTGATTCCAAGACCTCGTTCTGTAATCGAGTTGTATCAACATATTCTTGCAAAATAGATTCGAATTGTGCTCTGAAATTCAAATTAATCCATTGTAATTCATGTCTAAATAATAAAGTTGAAAATAAAACACTTCGTGTTCTAATTAAATCACCCTCTTCTGTTGCACACGTTCCACGGCAAAGTTGAGCGTAAGAATTAGAATATTTGAAAAGTTGTGAAGAGAAATTCTCAGCAGCTTGTTGAAGTAACATTTTGGCATTTGGCAATTGAAATGAATCATAAAGAAAGTAATCACTTGAAGCTTCATCTATTGTTCGGTTCACAGGCTTCTTTTCCATAATACATGAATCATATCTGGTTGTTAAAATGTCGTTGTCTGCCAAATCATTTTCAGATGGCTCAGTTGACTGATTTTCCAATTTTCTCTTTTTAACACCTTCTCTTGCAAGAATTTTAATGGCTGGAATATTTTCTGTCAACTCTCCTTCAAACTCCTGCTTGAGGTCGTAATCCCATGTATTGGATTCAAAAGATGCAATCGTATTTTTCAATCTATTTTCAATGAAATTTTGTGAATAATCTTCGAATGTCAATGGATCAAATCTCTTTCTTTTGAGGGGATTATTTGCTTCATTTTCCAAGTTTTTAAAAATGTGGCCTAATTGCTTGAAATCTAATCCCTCCTCGTATTCATCGTCACTAAAGTCAGTGACTCCAAGATTATCGTAAATTTTAGTATTCCATTGTTCCACAACAACATTTTGATGGGGAGGAATATCATAAGAATAATCTGAATAGTATTCTTCATCTAGGTCACTATTATCTTCCTCATACGTTCTTCCATCAGTTTCGAAAGTTTTGGATTCACTTCCCACAAATGAACTGGTGCCTTGTTTTTCAATTTCACTTTGATAATGCTTGGAAAATATTTTCATAATTTCA